ATAAACAAAAGAGCTAGATACTATTAGCAAAAACAGAATGATCAACATTAATAGAACTTGACTTATGACAGCAAAATTAGCTATTAATTTTAACTTAATATCATTTTTGGAAACAAGCTGAAAAATACAATTAGACATTGAATTAATCAAAGATTGGAGTTCTTGTGGAATATTTTCCCATGCCTCAGTGAGAGCAGCCTTTAGTTCAGTGATGGTCTTGTATTGCTTTCCACTCCTATACATTTGGAAAACCAAGTCACCCCAAAGATTTTCAATTGAGTTTAAATCTGCATTGAGGGGTGGCCAGTCCAAAAAGTCGGACATTCTTGCTCTGAAAAAAATATATCATTGACACACACATCTTACGTCTCTGGGAACCAATATTTATTGTTTTAAGGTGTGTGTAGTTTAAAGTATTTAAAGAATCTGAATATATATTGAAGAATATCATTGATTTTGATACATGGAAGCTTGCATTATCCTGCAGGAATTCAAAGATCTGTGCATAAGTTTGGAGCTGCCTTCAAACAAGCTCCTGATTTGAGAGTTATATTGACCTTCAATAAATACTATATCTGTCTCTCCATTTCATTCAATCCCTGCCTAAGTTATGAGTGTACCACCACAAGCTAATCTCTTTGATTACTGCTTTTGATCTAGTCTTTTGTCAGCTGAATAATGCTTAAAACGATAAGGTCTGTTGAGATTCCACCTTTTCTCATCTGAAAAAAAAAATTACTTTTTGCCATCCTTCCCCTCTTCAAGGTTGCCTCTGGCAAACTGTAATCTAAGTTGTTTGTGTTTCTCATTGAGCTGGTTGCCTATTTTCATTTTGATGAAAGAAATGTTGTCTGCTGATCTCAAAACATTGTGTATTGTTGATTTACTGCAGCTCAGCTTCAATTTATTTTTGATTTTTTGAATGGGTGTGTTTCCTTGCAGTGCATGTGAACAATTGCACATTGTTCTTTAGTGTTGTTGAACTCTTGTGCCCACTGTTTTGCTTTCCTGTTAATTGTTCCTTATTATTGTTGAGATACTTTGAGATTGTTGCATGAGATCTTTCCAAATTTTTAGCAATCCAAGTTACTTTACTCCCTTCCTGGTGAAATACATCAATTTTAATCTTCTCTACAGTTAGATCCTTCCCTTATCCCATTTTTTAATAGTAAGGTATTATGCAATTTACTAAACCTTTTTTTTCCACTTGTTGATCATAATTTTTGCAAATTTCATGGATTCTAATCATTACTTTCTTTGTAATTAAATATGATACAATCAGTACATGTTCTATTGATGTTGGACATTCTATTTTTGATGATAATATCTAATTCTTTTCTTTATTAATCATTTTTCTCCAAACTTTTCTAGTACATTTAATAGCAAAATATCACCAATTATTGCATATCAAATTTACTAGAAAATTTCATCAAAGTTACATGAAAATTATAAAAAGTTTCTTGGCAGCATTGTATGTTCTATTATTATTGGAAGGACTGTATATGATTAAATTCACTAAGATATATCATTTTTAAGCTTTTTTTTATATCATAAAAATCTTTTTTGGATTAAAAATTCGAAACATAAATGGCCATGGCCAGGATAATCTGTTTTACCCAAGATTTCATACTGAGGTATTGTGGATGGAAGAAGCATCAGTCCACATTATGTAAGATAAGCAGTTAAGAGAAAGTATCTGATTATCCAGTTTCAAGTTCAGAATCAGGTTCTACTATATTTTTTCAATAGATTGTTAATTGTAAACAAAATAGACAAATTGTAATAAATAAAATTTTTGGAAATTTCAGTTTTGTAAAATTATTTTTATTTAAAGTAATTTTATTTACAATACAGTTAAATAGTTACTTTAAGAATAATCTGTTTTCTTGTACATATTTATACAATATATTGTATAAATATTACAACTACTCTTTATGAAAAGCTATTCAGAATTGTCCTGAACATTATTTATACATTGATGATGATGACTATTTTAACCCCTTAACGCCCCTGTGTAGTTAATTTTATGTCTGCACTGTTGTTGATTTCATTTCAGATAAGCTCATACAAGTTCTGAAAATATTTCAAGAAAATTAAGATATTATGTGAGGTGTTTCATCACTTGTCTAATGTAGTTTGAAAAGTCTTCTATTTTAAAATAATGAATAGATAGATACACAAGACACATCTGTAAGTCATCTCCAATCATCAATAATTATTTTTGAATGAAATTTATGAAAAGTTTTCCTTTGTATCTTATACTTAAATATTTTTGAATTTTCTTCTACAATTTAACAGTAACTTCAGAATAATCATTGTAGCCAATATCATTTAAGCAAATATAAATAATACCACCATTCTTTTGTACCTCGTAAATATAATGTAGTTAATAATAATTACTTTTATGAAACATGTACCATAAATTTTTTCATTCAATAAACATTCTCTGTAATTGAAAATACAGTAGACCCCCCTATAACATGTGTTCCTATAATTACGATTCCTATAAGACGGCGAAAAAATTGTGACGGTATCCATACAAACCTGGTAAAAAAACTCCTATAATTTGGTAAAACGTCATTGGGCAGCCGAACTACTTTCCGCCGTCCAGCGCCATGCTACGGGAATTTAGGCGGGTAAATTGAGTTTACTATTGTCTGTACAGTATTATATATAAATTAGGTACTGTACATATACGTATATATTAATTATATATAAATTAGGTACTGTATATATAATTATACAGGGTGGACCAAAAAGAATATACGTATTTCAAATTGATATATTTAATAAACTGTAAGACATACAACTATGGAACTTGGGACACATATTTATGAAACTCTCTAGTTTAGATTACAGGTGTTCAATATGTCCTCCACCAGCGACACGAACGGTCCGGGCGGGAGTTTGGTCCGGGCTTCATAACTAACCTGCGTCTCAAAACACGCCAAACTGTTGTTTTAGGCAGCTGCAATTCCCGACTGGCACGACGTGTTGATTTTGAAGGGCTACGTTGGTAAGCAGCTTGAATCCGTGCGACATTTTCTTCAGATACACGAGGTCGGCCAGGACTCTTTCCTTTACATACACAACCTGTGTCAACAAACTGACGGTACCATCTGCGAATGTTCCATCCATNGCCCTGTACTTTTCGGCATAGGAGAAAAATCAATAAAATAATCATTAATTTCAACTTCGTTTCGTTCTTATTCGTTAGGCATTTCTACAATTCGAACAATCAGAGTTAATTGTTCAATACGACTTTTATCGGTAGTACAGTCTAAATGTACTGCATAATACAGTAGACCCCCTATAACACGGGTTCCTATAATTACGATTCCTATAAGACGGCGAAAAAATTGCGACGGTATCCGTACAAACCTGGTAAAAAAACTACTATAACTCGGTAAAACGTCATCGGGCAGCCGAACTACTTTCCGCCGTCCAGCGCCACGCTATGGAGAGTTTATGCGAGTAAGTTGTTTACTATCGTCTGTACAGTATGTAAATTAGGTACCGTAAGTCTAATACAGTACTGTAATTTTATACATTTCTTGTGAAAGAAACATTTCTTATTCAACGGCCATAAAAATTATTTATATTAATGATGTCTCCAAAGTTCAATAAAGTTTTCACAGAAAAATAACTTATCAGAAATCGCGGCCGCAGTTTAGTGCATTGCTCCGCGACAAAAACAAGCTTGAGCAATGGCGACGTCGAATGGTGCACACTCGGTAATCCTACAATTTTTTGTTTATAACGTAGTTTATATGGATTATTCCCAAAAAAATATACGTATTTTGGAAATGTTGAGTCAAATTAGTCTAGAATCAATTAATTTTATGGAAGAAAACCTTTCAAACAGCTGTAGTCCATAAACTTCACACGTGTCGGGCTGTGATTGGCAAGGACTCGTAAGAAATCGATTCATAAAGAACGGAACGTATCTACCGTGTTATAGTGGGGGTCGACTGTATTACAAAAATTAAAAAATAAGCATATCATACCTAAAATGTACAGTACTTACAGAACTGCATGTGTGTAAAAATTTGTGTAAAGGTGTAACCATTCATATACTATAGTTTCATGGTTCTTTACTAATTTGTGAAATGAGTATCATTAAATATATTAGCAAATCAAACAACTATAGCTTTTATATAATTTACTTTTAAAGTAGATTGCAAATAGCAAAGCACATATTTTATATCTACTTTAAAAGTAAATTATGTAGGACACGGTTTTTAATATATATAATTTATTCTTGTATATTTTTTATTTGTTTTTTTGAACTGAGTTATAAAGTTTTGTTCTGATTTATGCTGTAATATAAATATTCTAATCATATCAAATGTCTTTTATTTCATTCTTAACTGTTATTCTGTATTTTTATTAAGCTTAAAAATACACAGTTATCACAAACATTTTTATTAATAAGAAACTGTCTTTCTGAATGAAGATCTATTTTTATTTTGTTTAATTAAACTATAAACATGTTTTAGCATACAAATAAACATGCCTTCTGTTTTAATTCACTTTAAATTTTTCTGTATAACTCTTTTCTTTATTAAATTTTAACCAGGGCTGTGGAGTCGTGTAAAAATCTACTGACTCCGACTTTTCCTTACCATTTGACTCCGACTCCGTTTCATATACATAACAAGTTGGTAAGTAAAAGGGAGTCGGAGTCAGCGGATTTTTTGATGACTCTGACTCCGCTAAAATCCACAACTCCGATTCCGACTCAGACTCCACAGCCCTGATTTTAACACTACAAATACAGGAATCCTCTTCACAACATGGTTATATTCCTGGAGGAAGTGTTGTAAACAGAATACAAGCTAAAATATATTTGAGTTACATTCTAGCAATCTATAAATCACCATACATTATTGAGTAAAGAGGTTTTTATATAAATATACATTTTAAGAAATAATAATGCATTTATGGTACTGTAATTGTTTAAAATGAAAGAAAAATTAAATTAGAGCTTTATATTACAGATTGAGAGAGAGAAAGACATACAACAGCATCATTGATTGGTTTGTGTATAAGAATTCAGATTGTTGCTGTGAAATGTTACATCACAAAGAAGCATTGCCTCCAAAATCCTGAGGTGTGTGAAGTAATGATGACCTTCCTTATCATATAATGTCACATAATCAGTAAAAATGTTTATACATTCTAAATTATTGATAAAGGTCATAATATGCCAATTCTGCAATTTTACTGATCAGTAAATGTTTTATGCATATGACCATAATTGACAGGTTTAACTTATATTTTGCTTTGGAAGTTAACTGCTTTAAATAATGTCTTTGTCTTAATTAATTTTCTTTTTCTGTTGACCAATACTATACCAGATTTTTAACAGCACCTTTTCCTTGTAACAATAACTCATATGGCTAAAAGAAGTTATATCTGATGTATGACTCTCCTGTTTTTGGTTTCCATTTCTAAAGTTCTCCAATTAAGGACACAATATCAAGGCTTTGGAGCCAGAGCTGGAGCCATGAATTTTCTCATTTTTAGTCTTAAGTGTTAATTTTTTCAGCTATTCTCTAGAAAGTTTTAAGCAATATCAACTTTCTATAATTTTTTTATGACACAATCTAAATAAAATTATAATGATAACTAATTTCTACTATATTTTTAAAAATGACTTACCCACTTTTTAATTATTAATAGTTGTGAAAAAGTTTTCCAATAATTTGCATAATTCTGTTATAATAATAATGGTAATATAGTCACATAAAGTGAATTAGCTAATGATAAAATGTATGAAATGCAGATATTTTATAGTATTAATTGTAAAAAAAATATATTAACCTTCCAATAATCTCAGCCATATATAAAAAATATTGCACCTAAGTAACAATTTACTCCTTTGTGCAACATAGTGCAGTCTTCAATGTGTACAAAGGAGAATGCTCCACCACAATGTACAAAAGGGAAACTGTCTAGTAAATTACTTCCAAAATTTCTGATACACAACAGAAATTCATTGATGATTAGAAGAATGCAATGATACAATCCTGAGATTTTCTTAAACAACATTTCTTGTGAAGACATCAATACTGACTTTTCGCTTATTAACCAACTCTATTCTGAAAAAAAGTATCTTTAGAAGAATAATTTTTTCTTTGAGTTTGAATTAAATATTTGCAAAATATCATAACTATTATCCTACTTAAATACTTATATAAGGATAAATATACATATAATCAGATTATTCTTGAATACTGTTACTTTATTCTGAATTTTCATATACAAAAGAAAGAAAGGATGCAAGAATAAAACAAATTAAGTAAATGAATAGAAATGATCTTTGTAAGTCCTAAGTAAAGAAACTAAATTAAAAATTCAAAAGGTTATCAAAAAACAAAATATTTCTATTAGTCTAATGATACAGTATGATATTGTACTCATATAATATATGTTTTATGTGCAGATTGTATGTCAGCAAGTATGATGTAAAACAAAATTCCATATAAATTTATGCTCCATCCCAAGTTTTTCTCTATGAAAATTTTTGTTGGAAATGCTGCACACTATAGAAATCTTCAACAGTTAAAATAATAAAGAGACATGATCTGAAGATGTTTTATTGTTACAAAATCAATACAAAAGACAACTTGACATATTTTATGATACACAAATATACTTCCAACTATAGCACAAATGAGCCAAAGCCCTGACTAGCCATATAAGTACTAAAGACACCAACAGATCTATATACAATACGTAACCATGGAGGTTTTGTGTTAAAAAAAATTAAATGAAATTGAATTTTGAATAATGTTTCAGACAGTTTATACAAAATGGTTAACTATTCATGACTTATATTCTGTCTCAAATTCCAGAACACATTAAAAAAATTAAGTAGATAAAAAAAAAGTAAAAATTAATATAAATGTGCAAATTTGAAATTAAATAATAATAATGCAAATAAATGAACAATAGCTGCTGTTAAGCTAAATGCTGGTTTTGACTAGTGTCGCTATATATAATATATTTCAACAAAATTTTAAATTATATAAACATATAATAAAAAAACAAATAGCTTGTGCGCTTGTCAGTATATGGGTATAGCAGACATATAACAAAATAAACTGTAAAATATTGATAATTGTTGTTAACAGCTCAATAACAAATTCATTTACTTTTAAAGCAGAGACTGTCACAACCCTTTTTTTAAAACTTACCCCAAAAGTAACTGTCACCAAAATGAATATAATTCATCTGGTTTTAAAATTGTACTTTTAAAAAAATGCATATTTTCCTGGATACAATTTGAATCTGTACAGTATCATACAATGCCTGTAATGGGATCCTAATAATCTTAAATCCTTTTAGTTATAAAATATTTGTGGCAGCATCCAAAATTCTTTTGTTTTATGTTCACATATTTTGGTAAATGGAAGACAAATCTTCCTTAGATGAAAAAATGGATGATAAAAGAGTAAACTATCTTTTTGTTTAGTTACCAACAATATAAATAAATTAAGTACTATTATTAGAATAATGACTTTTTCTTTTCTCTCTTCTTTTCTTGATTTGTAGTAGTAGTTTGGGTTAACCTAGAAGTAAGATATTCTATTATAAACCTAACAATAAGATTATGATACACACACATTATTTAATCAATCAAAGATTTAGATATACGAAATTTATTACAAGTAGAAACTAAAGGTACTATAATATTTTACAATGTAATATTTATACGTCATTCATGCCATAATATTATTATTTTATTGAAAAGTTCTAAGAATTTTATTTCCAAATAGTACAATAATTTTTAAATAATTTATATTCAGAAAACTGAATAAAGTAGAGAGGTTGAGGTGCACGTTTTAACCGNAAGAGACTCGTATAATTCAGTAAAACAGCATCACCGCGATGGTGTTTGGAATGTCGAGCGTGATTCCACCGACTATCCAAACACCATTGTCAAACTTTTAGGCTTACGGGAAAGCGGCGCCGAACGTCACACGTACACGTTTACACATTTAAAACGTGCGCCTCAACCTCTCTAGTATAAAGCAAAAATAAAAAATTAAAAGCATATATGTTCTATATCCTTTATAATTATATATAAATGTATTATAAAAAATCTTCAAGGCTAGATAAATTTTTAATTTATAGAAATATCAACAATTAAACCTATTCTGTATTAAATGAAAACACTTACTCTTCTAAAGATTTTTCTTTTTCAAAGGCACGACGTTTCTCTTCCAATTCTTTATGTTCTTTTTCCAAATTTGCATTTAATTGTTCAATATGTCGTTGTAGCTTTGTAAAATTAAAAAAATTGAAGTTAATAGAATGTATGTCAAGATCAGTTTTTAAAATTATTATGGAATCATGGAATCATAATCAACAAAATTCAACTAATGATAAAAATCTTTAGGAGCCAAAGGAAGATAGAACATAATAATAGTGAAATTTTTGAAGAATAAAAAAGCAGAGGTTACTCTTAAGTCTAAAAGTGGTTCCAAAAGAACAGCAGAAGAATTAATAGTATATCCTGACTCTGCTACAAACAGGAAGAAAAATTGTAGCAACTTTGAACTGTGGGTATAGGCATTAAAATTAACAGTGTAGTAGTGTAACATGTCTCTAAACTAATACCTTTTTGAAATATTTGTTATTGCTTTGATATATTTTAATGTTTTATTGTTGTTTAAAACATGCTTATTACAGATGGATTAAGGAAACTAACTTAAAAATATAACTCTATGATGCACAATAAGTTTTAAATAATATGTTAGAATGTTATTTGTTGCTTGCTCTATCATTGAACATAATCAAAATAAATTTAAAATTGTTAATTTTTTAATTCAAATTTTACTAATGATGATCTGAACATGAGACAAAATATCTCAAAAATATTTGAGCCCAGAAATTTAGTGACAATTAAAGACTTTAATATTAATCTGATTTTGTTGTATATCAAGATAATTGAAAGAAATAAGTAAAATAACAAAACCATATTTGGGACAAGACTATGTCTTGGAGACTCACTACTAAGCAGAATCACTTTGACACTCAAGGCAGGTCTCATTCTCATTCTCCAATCTTCTTTGGTATCACTGCTTTTGGGCGTGGTCGTTCAAACTTCGCTGGCCACGACCACAAGGTCGTCCATGATGCATTTTCAATGAAATTAACCTATTCAATTTTGAAATTTCTCTCCGTTGTGTGTTGGCCCACTGAATTTTTGTCGATGTGTAACAAAAATTTCCCGTTTTTGAAAAAAATAATCATGGCTATTGTATTGTCCGAAATTATTTTTTTATTTTGCACAAACAATATACAGTTTAACCTAATTGTAACGACAACCCTAATATAATGTCAAATTTTTATTGGTCCCACATTTTACTATACTAGATAATGTTAAAAAACCTACTTGTAATGACATAAAATCCTGTTTTAATGTCACATTTGAAGCACTCACAAATTTACAAAATTAGATTACGAAGAAAATACTACATGTTCAGTCCTAGGGTCAGAGTCCACTTCCTAGAACGACTGTGGGTGGTACACTCTCACCACCCGACTTCAGTTTGCCTGTTTGTAGAGAGTCACCATTTTGTATTTTATTTTGACTTGGTTCTCGGTCCCCTGAGTACCTACAAGTCTGGCTTTTTTTATGCACACGTGATTTGGGTACCTAATACTCTGTGCCAAATATCAAGTCTCGACATATACTCTTTCACACCTCCAGCTGGTAACACAGCAGGCAATATAATTTTATAAACAAGACAGTCTTGTCAGTAATATTAAAATTATATTTAAATTCCTATACAGACAGTTTCGTGTAAGAAATTAAAAGTCAATAACTTGAAAAATGTACTTCTAATAAAAAAATTGATAAGAATGAAGGTTTAATATTTTTGAGGGGAACTTTTTGCAAAAATAAATTCTCCCATCTTTTTTTGGGGAGGTGAAGGGTAGCTTTAAAGTAGATAGGCAAGGCGTTGCTCGTTTAAAAAGTAACAATAGCGAAGATTAAGATTATTATGTTATAGTCAATCTTGCCCGTTTTCAAAGAATGCAAGAATTAGGTCCCCCTGTTTCCAGACTAATTAGAGAATTTTTAGATGGGTTAAAAAATGTGTAATTTCCCACAAAAACGAAAAACTGCATCTGTGCCTATAAATCTTGCCCATTGCTTTCTCTTAACACTTCCATCAACAATGGAAGTGTTAAGAATGAAAGTGTTAAACCTTAATCCTGTCCCTCTCCCTCTGGGGGAATTTTGAAAAATCCCTTCTTAGTGTGCGTTCTCATGATGTACCCTAACTGTGTACCAAATTGCAACTTTCAACTCCTAACTGTTTGGGCTCTGCGCTTACTATTATTACAGTAGAACCTTGAAAACTCGGCTCTCGATAACCCGGCCACACCCTGGCAGGGCAAAAAAATCCTTAGTTAATTAATTTTCATTATAGACAGCTTTATAAAAGTATAAAAGCTCTCATAAAGTATTTTTCTGAGGTCTGTCTTATCAGGTAAATTACTGTACACAGTGTATTCATTAATTTTCATTTTCATGTAGTAAAGGCTCTATGCCTTCATAAAGGACGTACTTTTCCTTTGTTTAAGGGTATTTGGGCAGTTTATTCTCTGTTATATTCTCAAGTAAACAATACATACAAGTACAGTACACTATTTTCTGAGGAAACACTCGTACTTATTTTTTTAAACCCCATTCCCGATAACCCGGCATTTTCACAAACTCGGCCACCCTTCGGTCCACATTAGGCCGAGTTTTCGAGGTTCTACTGTATTATCAACCCATCTCGATTACTGTATTTTATGGACTATAAGATGCACCTTAATTTTTAAGCAATTTTTTAAAAAAATAAAAGAAGCAGTGGCTAAAAGATGGAGTAGTGTATTATGATAGTTTACTTTCCGAAAATAATTTAATTGCAACAACATCTTCTGATACACTACCTAAAAATGCTATGCACAGAATTATACAATAATACATTGGATGTGTCGAATGAAAAAAAATTTGTAATTATTGCAATTAAGTTATTTTCGAAAAGTAAACTCTCATAATACACTACTCCATCTTTTAGCCGCTGCTTCGATACATCACTGTATAAAGAGTTATCATCAACAGTTTTTTCGTCACAACGTGAAGAACTTGCTTCTCTTGATGACATTTTTTTAATTATAAAATAATTTTTCAAAATAAATTTCACTGCACAAATACATCTATTCACATCAAAATTCAGAAACGAACTGTTAAAGAGTGAGTGAAAAAGAACTCTGATAGAAAAACTCTCCTAGTGAGAATTAGATCATAGCTCACCTTTGGTGATGATAATTAGATAAGAAAGTTGACACATAGGTGTCAAGAATGCACTGTTATTGTCAATAAAAGTGAAATTATTAGGCTTGGAATAGTAGAAATTAAATTAAATAATAAGAAATAAATGAATGAGTAAATAAATAAATACATTATAAGTATTTATGAATTTAAAAAAAAGGAAAAAAGTGTACACAAGGGAATCAAACCCGAGCACTCAAGCATACAAGTCAGGAGCATTACCAATCAGCCACAGGACGCTAAAGCAGAAGTACGCATAACTTATATATAAAGTGCTAAAAAAAACTTTAAGTTTGTTTTTCTTGAATATATTTGAGTGTTGCACTTTAGTATTTTACAGGTAGTACACTCACATGGTGTACTACCTCTAAACCAAAGATCATCAAAATCCGTTTTCCCAAAGCCGTAGAGTCTCCTTGTTAGAGTAAAGTAAATTGTTTAAAATACAGTAAAACTTGAATGAAACAGGAAAAAAATTTGGATTGGAGATATTTTTCCATATTGAATTTTACTATAAGCTTTCTAGCTTAGAGTAAAATAGAAACCTGTCTAACATAAAAACAAGAGATTTTTGAGTGTAAAGAATATAATTTAATCTAAATATAGCAGAAACTAAAGATTCCACTTGTAAACAAATAAGTAAAATCATCTCCAGTATTATACCTGGCGATGATTTTACTTATTTGTTTACAAGTGGTCACACAAAACACAACAAACTATGTATTTTGAGAATGACTTCAAACCTTTTCAGAAAAATGAAGATTTATGTGATGAGGAGACACATGTACACAAGATTTTTGTTGGAATTAACTAGGAATAGAATTAAGTATTTTCAAGAATCGAATGCATTTCTGAGAATGAACTTCTTAAGAACAACCAACAAATGTAATTCTCTGAAAACAATGAGAATAAGATAACACAGTGCTACCAACTTGCCCTGTATAGATTAGTTAGTAACTACCGTGTTTCTTCGAAAATAAGACCTACCATAGGTTTTGCTGAATTGCTAAATATAAGGCCTCCCCCAAAAGTAAGACCTAGCAAAGTTTTTTTTTTACTCGTAACGGTCATTGACAGATGGTTGAAAGTGGCCGTTGGCTTTTTGAAAGTACAGCCACTGATTGGTCAGCAGACAATCACGCTACACGGCATGATTTGAATAAAACTATGGCTTGGGAATCACAGATTTGCATAATGTTACGGCTGGTGATGGCTAATTGGTCGGCCGGGAATCATGCCACATGACATTTGCATAGTGCTACTGTTCAGTAAGCACTAATTGGTCATCGAGCCCAATGTCGACACTATAAAAAAGTTAAGTTGAAGCGCGAGTGGGAAATCCACTCCAGCACGGGAAGTTTGTAAGTTCAGTTCGACACGACCAGATATACGTCACTCTCATCTAAGTACGACTTGGGAATTTTTTTGTTCAATAATAAATGTGAATTCTTCTTCATGGAAAAAAATAAGACATTCCCTGAAAATAAGACCTAGCGCATCTTTCAGAGAAAAATTAATATAAGACACTGTTTTATTTTCGGGGAAACACGGTAGTAACTAACTAGTACAGTAGAACTTTGATTAACCAAATGCTAAATTATCCAAACCATCCCTTGCCCTCCTTTCTCTCTCCCACTGACATCAAACTGCAATTCTTTTATGTCATGCAACTACATGATCAGTGACACCTATTTGCTGTGACAGATCCAAATAATCAGTAGGATGCTACTTGTACATTGATAAATAAATAAATACAGTACATGTACAATACTGTGCTGTTACCCTGTAATTTCATTCTTTACATATTGATCCACTTATCTCAATCACCAGCATAACGAATCAATCCAGATAATTGGAGTTCTGAGAACAAGTTGATTACCATTGTTCATAATTAGAGATTTAGGTAAATGATTAGGTCACAGAATAACTTGGTTTCTGTATTTCTGTAAGGCCAAGACTCCACTAGCATAAAAACAGGCATAAAAACCTTCACCGTAAAAACTTTTAATCACGTGACCTATTTGTGTTTGCGTCTGGATTGCGGTGAATGTCCGGCTAGCGAAGTTTTTATGGCAATAGCACTAGTAAAAACAATATCTTTACTTTTATATATTAACTTTTATTATCATATTATTAATTAAGATAATATACAGCACTTATAAGCTTAGCTTTTTTTTTATTATATACTCCACTAAATTGAAGAATTTTCCTTTGGCCGACCATATTGCGAGTTTTAGGCATCCATTATTATAATCAGGATACTTCTTGTTGTAGATACACAAATACTTTCGGATGTTTTTGATAAATCTTTCCAGATCTATTCTAGATTAACCACGAGGGAACGTACACAAAAGCTTGTTTTTCCACTATTTTCGCACCGTGTCACAATGACCTAGATTTCACTGACTTCTGATTGATGGATGATTCAACGTGAATACGGCCGTATTCACATTGAAAGTTGAACACTGCTCAAACTCACTTTTATGCTGGTTTTACAACTTGCTCAGGTGTAAAATATCATGGTCACGCGATTAAAAGCTTTTACGGCGAGGGGTTTACGCCCATTTTTTATGCTAGTGGAGTTTCAGCCTAATGCAACTACAATTTCTGATGACAGAGCGAAACACTGGTTCTTGCTTCTCCAGTTGGCTTGTTCATTGTCATGTGAGCTCATATGAATCACAATGAAGTATTTGAATAATTAATTTCTCAGAATTGAGAAAATTTTTTATGAGAATCAAATATTTCTCAATTCTTACAATCAGGAATTTCCATCTTTATTTGGAATTATTTTAGATTAATTTGGATTAAACCTAGTAATAATTTTTTTTACTTGTGTAAAAATGATTTCACTATACAAAACATACCAGATAAATATCACACACTCGTGTTCCAAAATGAACATGAGTGTGTGATATTTATCTGGTATAGTTTGAAGATGGGGAGAAAAAATGCTAAAATCTGTTCAAAGTGGAAACAAATTGGTATAGTACAACTCTAGTTTACACAGGTTTTACTGTATAATATATATAATAAAAAAAAATTAATGATAAAATGATATTTACCTCTGCCTCTGAATCTTTTAATTTTTGAAGTTTTTCTTTTACTTTGAATTCAAATACATTTTCCATTTCTTTTACCTTATGTTTTAAATTTTCATCATGGTTTCTTTTCTCTTCTTCCATTTGTGCCAATGGATTCCTTATAAGTGAAGTAAGATATATCAATTTAAGTTGATAACATTTTCAAATTTTTAAAATATTTCTAAAAATTTAAAATAACTAAACTAGATGTATTTCTAAAGAAAGCTTAACTTACCAAAACACCATGAAGGTGTTGAGAATCCTTTGTGGGCAAAAACTATCAATTATTTAAATTAGTAACAAATAATTTTTATATAAATAAATTAATACAAAATATTAATTATTTGTTAATTTATTACAAGTAATTCAAACTATTCTTCAAATACTTAAATGGAAATTTTGACAAAGAAATTTTTGATAGACTTTCTTAGATATATAAAGTAGACCCCCCTATAAAACAGGTTCATATAGTTTGGATTCCTATATGACGGTGAAAAAATTGCGACCATATTCGTATAAACATGCTAAAAGAGACTCGTATAATTCAGTAAAACAGCATCGCCGATTCGTGTCGCGACAGGATTGGTCGAATCTAGACCAATAGCAGATATTGCACAAACCGTTGAGTTTAAACGAGTAGCAGACCTACTAAAAACCATTTATTATTTAACGTCCATAAAAATTATATTTATATTAATGATGTCTCCAAAGTTCAGCAAAGTTTTCACAGAAAAATAATTTATCAGGAAACACGCACCCACTGTTCGATGCACCGCTCCACGACGAAAACAAGCTTAAGCAATGGCGTCGTCGAACGGTGCACACTCGGTAAGTAATCCTACAATTTTTTGTTTACAGCATAGTTTATATGGATTATTCTCAAAAAATTATACATATTTTGGAAATGTTGAGTCAAATTAGTCTAGAATCGATTAATTTTATGGAAGAAAACCTTTCAAACAGCCGTAGTCCATAAACTGCATACGTGCCGGGCTGTGATTGGCTCATGTATTTAAGGACTCTTAGAACATCAATTTCATAAAGAACAGAACATATCTACCATGTTATAGGGGGGGTCGACTGTAATTGAAATTAAAATTATTTTGAATAAAAAATGAAAAGTAATGTGATGGATTACAGTGATCATAGTGTATTGGATAAAACTATACGAATCATAAAAGAAATTTGAATGCTTATAAATCTTAATCACTTTGATTACTTTTGGTTAGATGAATATTCATGAATAATTTTGCAAATATAAGGATCATTTATGATGAATCCAATGGTTAATGTTTAGTATAGTTTAGTATGGTATAAAGCAATCATATTTATTCTTAAAAATAGATATAACACTAAACTAAGCATCATACCTTTAACAAATATTTGCTTACCATACATAAAATACAGAATTAAATTTTAATGAATCATTGCCTCTAGCAAACAATGTATAAAGTTAAACTTAATCTACTTGTATTTAACCTTGAGGAGCCAAAACATTCAGATCTGTTTGGAATTTGGAAAGGCTTCACAATTGGCTCTAACAAATTGGAATTTAAAGGCTTCTAAAAATCTTATTTTGCATTGCAGATTAATAAAACATTACTTGCTAAGAAATATATTGTCTACCTAATAATCCTCATCCAACCTAAATTTTTTTCTCTGTATATCACTGTTTTGGACACTGGTGTAAAGTTAATTAATAAAATTAATTACAAAAATAAATTACTTTGGAATCTTCATGTTAACTATGCCTTCCTATCATTTCATGCCATCCTGTTTTGTGCATGTTATCCCTATTGAAAAACTTCATACATATATAAATATTAGGCTATTTTAATTCATCTTTCACAGCCTGCTATAATTGTCATAGACTCTATGGATTTGGGTGAAGATGGGTTAGATAACAGATTTATTTAAAGGCTTCCACAAAATTCTGCTTTTCATCCATCAAACTAATGAAACTTTGCATGTTAATTAAGCAATATTTTGTCTACCTAATGACATCTTTCATTCCTCAAAGAAACTCTACTCTTTTTTTTCTATTTAAACGATTTGAGTTAGATGTTGTCATTAATCATCTTTTTTGTTTGTTTATTTAAAAATTTGATTGTTAGAAATCAATAAAAATAACTATCTAGAATATTAAACATTTTATTTTCAATGTAAAAATACAAACTTAAGAGTTTTAATTACAGTTTGTAAAACAGTTAATTGCAGTTAATTGATTCACAGTCTACTATTTTAGCTAGTGTCAAACACACATCTACTTTATGAACACTAACCTCTTACTGAGGTAATTTTTTGGGAATAATAATAATTGTCAAATACATCACATCATAAAGTTAACAATGCTTTTTTTCTCCTGACATTTCCAAAACAATAAATGAAATATGAATACAATTATAAAAAAAATTATTTTGAAAATTACTGTAATAAGTTAGTTTGATATCAGTAAATAGATGTTTTAAGTCTTTCTGTTAATAGTGAAATACAGATAACTTTGCTTGGTGAAGACTATTTTATATATTACGTCAATCTTACATTTTTGTTTTTATCTGTAAATATAAAAACTTATATTTATTCTTTTTATATGTAAACAGAATCATTTGCATTAAGGTTGATGCAGTAATAATGTTAATTCAAATAATGTCGGATTTATTTAAAATGTACTATTAAATATCCCAGTCAAGAATGATGCATTATGTCATATTTAATAAAGTGAAACTAAATTAAATTACTGAGTAAAATATTTTATTGAAGAATAATGCCATAAACATTATTTTAAATGAAATGAGCAATTATTTATTGACATCGTCACAATGCTGGGCTGCAATCATTAATCATATTTTTAATTAATTAAATTTAAAATATATGCTTCCCACCTCAAATTAGTGTGGCTTGCCCCTGTACATCACACTTTTCCATTAAACAGATGAACAGCATGATTTCATTGCTAACACCTTTCAGTGGGAATTTTTTAATTGAAATAAAACAACTTCCAATTTGTATCTGAAGTTCATATATAGTTAATTGGGACCTCCTGTCCCCTAAGGTTTCCATATCTGGTCTTGTCTTTCATCTATCTAATTCCATTCTCAAGATTAAATTTCCACTGTTGTCTGTCCATCTTTCCTTATAGGTCTATAATTTTTTCAAATTGCAGCCCAAAAATTTAATGTACAACACAACTTCTTCATAAACAATATTTCTGATAGAGGTATCATTTTTATCATCATTATATGTAATTTTTATTTTTATGAAAATTATTATTGGACTCTATGCAATTTATCCTGATTAATTTGGCTTGCCCAAAATTTTTTACAGTTCTTTCACTGTGTGAAAAGCATGTGATCAGGGTCTTGACTCTTTGATGGAGACATCATCTATTTGTTGCTTCAAAAAACTGAGATGGAGACATGCAAGTCACCAAATTAACATGTGCATACATTCTGTGAAATGTGATTGCAAAGGTATAAAAGTTTAAAGCTTGTTAGAATTCCTTCTGCCACAAATATCAGTGGTAATAAACATGTAATAGATAAATCATTGTCTCTTGAATCAACATGTATTTATCATATTCACATGCCCACCACAAACTGTACTTTTCCTTCTCTTGGAGACATTATAGATGATTCTTATATTTGCAGAAATTTTTCTTTTTCAACCATTTAAACAAAATGACATAATTTGCATTACAATACTTTCCTAAAGGAAATTTAATTATTAATTTTTCTTAATATGTTATCACAAATTAGGTAGAATTTCTTTTATACTATTTCAAGAATTTTTCCTTTTAAAAAATTTAATGCATTATGGTTCACAAAGGTATTCACCAAGTAAATAATGCTAGGATTAAAAATATACAAGTTAAAATCTTTGAATAGTTTTCTCATAAATTTTTTTATTCACTTTTGTAATTATCTAATAATGTAAATTTTTATAATATAAAAATTTATATTATTAGATAATGAAATAATGTTTATATTACAGCACATTGCAATAAAAAAGGAAAAAAATCTTATATTTAAGCTAAACAATATTACTTGAAATTATTTTAAGTTAAATTAGTGCAATGATACAAAAATGAGAGAAATTATACTTTTCAGATTAATTCAACAAAAAAAACAGAATAAAAATTATAACTCAAACTTACTTATTAGATATTCTTACTGATTTGCCATCACTGGCACCAGCTAATTTTTTACTTCTAAAATTTTCATAATGAACATTTCCTGTAACTTCCATTAAGTCATGCATGTGTGTCCTGGTAAAATAGTAAGAAATTTATGAGTTATCAAAGCTTTTCAGTTACAGCATTGTTTTAATTTTTACTTATCTATATATATAATTGAGACGAGTTGATAATAATAATAATCAGCGCATAGCCCAAACGGTTAGGAGTTGGAAGCTGAAATTTGGTACACAGTTAGGGTACGTCACGAAAACGCACACTAAGAAGGGATTTTTCGAAATGCCCCCCCTGGGGGGAGAGGGACAGGATTAAGCTTAACACTTCCATCAACAATAGAAGTGTTAAGTAACAATGAAAGTGTTAACAATGGAAGTGTCAACAATGAACGTGTTACGTAACAATGGAATTGTTAAGAGAAAGCGACGTTTTAAGACAAAGTGCAGTTGGTTTTCGTTTTTGCAGGAAATTGAAGATATTTTTAGACCCATGTAAAAATTCTCTAATTAGTCTGGAAATGGGGGATCCAATTTTTGCATTCTGTGAAAACGGGTAAGGTTGACTATAACGCAATAATCTTAATCTTCGCTATTGTTACTTTTGCCCGAGCAATGCTGGGCCCACCTGCTAGTACATAGATAAATTAGATATTTGTAAATATAATTTTATGAAAAAGTAAATGCATTGTTTTAAAGAAAGTTAATATATATATAAGACATTTGAAGTTATTAATTAACAATTATACAAGATATATTAAAAGTTTGATTTATTTTTTACTAACTTTCTTTAAATTAATAGTACAAGTATTTACAGAAGACCATCTTCAAAAATAAATACCTGCTGCAACTATGCATTTCTATTAGCATCCAAACCATATATCAAAGTAGGGTTAGCATATGTGCCAATTTTCCAGGATTATCCCAAATTTTTTCTGACTATCATCTACCAACAGGATAATTTTACTCTAAAAACTGTTCCTACTATGAAGTATATTTTTCTTGTTCCACATTTTAAATGTACTTCTGTCACTGGCAGAGTAAAAACACACATCTATTGCATGCTCTGAAACTAAAGTGTCCCAGTATCTTTTGGGAAGAACTCACTTTGTCCTAGATTTTATTCCAAGTGCCTAGCAATCCTACATCAAAGCAGTACTAAAGATAGTTTTTGTGATGTTAATGTGTCTAAGTTACCATGGCTTCCATTGATCACTTTTAGTTAGGCAAAAATACGAGAGGCCTTGATTTTTATCAAGGAAAATAATTACTTTCGGTTCAATGGGAAAGTTTATTTACAGAAACAAGGGGTACCTATGGGCTCTCCGCTCTCTGCTATATTAGCGAAATTACTCATGAGGCATGTGGAGCAAAGAGTGTCTACCTTCCCTCTCACCATAGCATACCCGCTATTATATCTTAGATACGTGGACGATATCTTAGTAGCCTGGCAACACATGGAAGAGGAATTCCATATTCTCAAAAGTTATCTTATGAAGTCTTATTCTACCATCAAGTTTACCTGGGAAAAGGAAAAGGGAGATGAAATTGTGTTTTTAGATCTAAACATCACCAAAGCCCAGGGTGCGATAGTGTTCTCTGTATTCCATAAGTTCAACAGCATACCTCCTTTAATCCCTGCCACAGCGTACCAACCGCGGCACAGTGTCAATGCAGCTATTGCCCCTCTAATTAGAAGGCCTTTTTGTTGTCTTCCAATCAAGGTCTTGTCAACATCGAGCTTGAAGCTATAAGTGCAGCGGGTTACGCTAGATCTAAGTACAGGTACATCCTTAAAAAGGTTAAAGGTTCTCTATTTCCTGACACGACTTTGCAGGCCTCAGAAGAATGTACGATAATCCAGCCCCCATTACCATTCTGTGGGCGTATTACTGGCCGCATTTTCCGTATTTTTAGGCAGCATGCGCTTTTCCTGCCAGTGTCGCCGCAGCCAAACCTTAGAAGAATGTTATGCAATGGCAGGGATCCTTTTTCTGTGCTAGAGCAGTCTGGAGTGTATTCCATCCCATTGGAAAGTAATTTGTAATTTGTAAAAGAGGGTAAGAGAGCTGTCGGTCTTTTAGCTGACTGACTTAGCTCGTTTAGATAGGAATCGAAAAGAAGGTTCGAAGGTAAGATGATAAGCAGCAAGAGGAAGTTAGATAGATAGGAGAGAGGAAGGAAGTGACCATGGGTGCCTGCAATGCCTCAACACACTAAGTAAAACAAAATATGGTTACACGATCCAATAATAGCATGGAAACCATATAAACAAAATGGCGTGGCAATACATACATACAGTATTCAGGGTTAATGTTTACAATTTATATAAGGTAATATCAAGCAATTAATGTAAAACAGGGGAAGTTATATGTACTGTACAAGGCATATACGATCAGGAACCGTCCTTGCTATCTTCATCTGTTTCACTTTCCGATGTTTGGTGGATTGGACTATTGTCATTTGGTTTTTGTTGCTGTTTTTTGAGGTAGTCCGGTTTTAGTTCTTTTGTTTTCTTGACGAATTCCCATTGGAAAGTACAACATCTGGTACTCATACCCAGTATATCGGAGCGACATCCAGAATGTTGTCTTGCCACATCTCTGAACACAAACATTCTATTAGCACGGGTAGGTGCGACACCGAGTTGGCAAGATTGGTGTTGCAACATCAATACACTCTGATGTGGGACCAAGTGGGGATTCTCAAACAGTGTGATAGCAGGAACCTCTTGTATATATAGGAAGCGCTATTTACCAGCGTGCTAAATCCATGCAACACCCCCATGCTGGATGTGCCTTCATTGTGGGTCAACTTATACAATAGGTTAAAAATACTTCGCTAGCTCCGCATTCTCGCAAAATATTCTATTGCTCATGCGTGTCGGCATCAAGTGCGTGTCTTTCAAATTCTCTGTTTTTGTTCTATTTTGATTTTATTCCAATGCTGGTTTGCCATTGCTGTAATTTGAATTTGAAGGTTATTAACTGTTCTTTCAACCTGAAGAAGACGAAAATAGTTTCGTTGAAAGCGCTAGTTGTTTGTAGCAATAGCTGTAGGTTGTTAACGCCTAGATGATAATTTCCTCAACTTTACTTATCCAATATTCGGTGTGAAGTCCAATATTATTTTTCAAAAAGTATTTCATTGTTACTTGTTTATTATAGAAGAATAAACAAGAATAAATATGTTAAATTTTATGAGTTGATTTCTCAATTTTAAATTGATTATTCAAAGTAAGAAATATATTATTAAAAAATTAAATAGATACACAGGATGTGACAGGAAAACCTGACTATTTTCATATGTCCATAATGTCCAGAAAATTTAATATTAAATGTAATTGATTAACACAGAACTGATCATCAATATTTGCCATTTTATTACACATTATTACACTGTATATGTAATTTTTTGCTTTTTTTAAAAAAAGAATCTTCAGTTATTTATTAAAGAGAGTTTGTGCAATAGCACGCAGTTTGAATATTCAAAACTTGATGCTACAGAAGTTTTAAATAGTACACTATCAAGGTAAGAATATGGAAATTTGCAACAATGACTTGAAATATGCTTACGAAATAGTAGATGGCATTTAATGGATATGATATACAAAATTTGAATTCTTAAAACTTGCCATTATATAAACTGTGTTACTGCCAGCACAACCTCACTCTAATAAATAACTGAAGCCTTAAAAAAATAGTATTCTATGCATATTAGAATGGCATGAAATGATGACTATTCTGTACTAATAACTTATATTTAGTGTTAAATTTTGCTATATTATAAATATTTGAGAATAGTCAAGGTTTTCTGGCACATCCTGTATTAAAAAAATCATAATAATATTTACCTTAATAAGAGATTCCTCACTGTAAGTGAATCACAATGATCTGAATTGTCAACTGCAATTAAAATGAAATATTTATTGTATACCAATTATTAAATGTTTTGTCATGTAACATTGATAAATTAGTTACATATTGATTAAAATCAAACATATGGTCTGTCCAAAAATTTTCCAAATTTTCATTAAAACACACACTGTAAAGTAATAATCATAAATTTTTATTTACAATTATTTAAAATACCTCCCTTCCAAATAAGTAAATATTTGCAATGATCATATAATTTTAGAAAACACTGCTGAAAATATTCCTTTTAGATGAGTGAAATAGTCACAATCAAAGCCTTCTGGATGTCCAAAATAGTGTTACTATTTTCCTTTTAGCTTCATTTTCAGTTTTGGGAACAAAAATAGTTACAAGGTGTTGTAATGTCTGATGAATATGATGAATAATCAAGGATGGGACTGAGTTTGAAGTAAGAAAGTTGCACATGGCAATGCACTTGTAAGCCGGAGTATTGTCAAGGAGAAGTGATCAGCTGCCTTGCATTTGGTATTGAGAATAAATCCAATCACTTCTTGCCAGCAAATGCTTTGTAATGCCCAACTAATAATCTCCATTATTTTGGAACAAACTCTTTTGTATAGTTTCATCTGTTCAATTGGTTGATGTTCTCCCACTGCACTCATTGTCAGCCAGTGATTCTCTACATAGACATTCTAAAACTTCACAAACTACTTAAATCATTATCCCATATATCAGTTTATGTCTCTATTCCTCCATAAACCTCCTGTAACATTACTAATGGTTCTGTAACATTTTGCCTATCAGAATCTGATGTTTGCTCTTTCATCCATTGTGACTTCTTCATAAGTGTCACAAAGAATTTCTTGATACTCTTATTCCTGTGGTAAAACAATTGTTAGAGGGATCTCAATCAAACTTACAGAATTTGTGACTTCAATACAGATAGTGCCATTACTACCATACAGAAACTTTTGGAATAGGTCATGTATAAAGGATTAAATGCTATTAAGTTTTATTATTTTTACAACTCTCTCAGGGCCAGTCAAAAAATCCATTAATATACAATATAAAATGCAAAGTATATCACCAATTTTGTTTATGAAGTAGAGAATTGCTTTCTTGTAAAATTGGTTCACCTCTTTCAATTTGCTGTCTGACATGAATCAGTATCCTTATAAAGTTTACTTCAGTACCCCAAAGATAGTAAAATTGCAAGATGAGAGATCAGAATTGTAAATGAAGAAATGGATAAGTGTTGGCAATGGCAGTGTTCTTTAATTAGATTGATGATGTAAGGGCAGGTACTGTTGTAAAGAAGGATAATATCATTGGAGAGCATCCCAGGCCATTTGGACTCAACTGCTTGCCTAGAGAGCATAGAATTTCCTATCATAAAATTGGCTGTGTTTTGTTTATCTAGGAATTCAATAAGGAGATGCCTCATTTTGATCAGAGAACACCATCAGTATTATCTTTCCTGCATCACTCTGATGGACTTGAATTTCTTCAGGAGAGGGAATCTAAGGTGTTTCCATTGAGATCCTGGTGTTTGTGTTCAGGCTCAAAATGGTGCACCCAAGTTTCATCATCAGCTACAATTCATGACAAGAATTTTTTCATTTCCAACCTGTATTTCTAATCATCTGATCCACCTTCTGATTGATATTCAGGTGAGGACCCACTGCACACAGTTCTTTCAGTAGTAAAGATAGTTTGGACAGAACTGTGACTAAGATTCACTAAACAGATGAATTTGTCCTCTGTGACATCTGTTATTGTGAATATGTTCATTGTTTCAATCCAGTTCATCCAAGGAATAGATAAAATACATACTTTTCAAAAATGCCTACTTCAGTCTATGACAACTATCAATAAAATGTTATTCTACAATACACTGCAGTTATCTGTCAATGAATATCAAATGGTCTCATTCATCCTGCAGCTGAAAAGTGTACAATGACTCTATATTCTTTCTGTATCAAAGCCATTGCTCTGCTTGGATAAACATTTTAAATAAACTTGATGATTGTGATTTCTTATTCAACAGTGGTACACATGATGTTTGAAAATAAGCAATAATATTCTTGGTAGCCCTTAGTTTATTATGCACAGTGTTGCCAATTTGAAGGGAGATTAAAGAAATGACAGAGAAATTGCCTAGAATTATGAAGCTGCAATTCAAATAAAACTAATTAAAAGTTTTCATATAAATGCTAATAAAATCAAACAACTGTGGTTTGATAAGGATTGTATTATAATGAGGCAAAAAAAATAACTGTTTAATTGATTATAGAAAATCTTTATTAAAATCTCATTTGATGAATTATATTTAATTAAGAAACAATTCAAAAATCTTTAAGAAAATGAAATTACTAGTAATAGATTACTTTTTAAAATAAAATTGTAAACATGAAAGGTAATCTCTCTTTCTGGAAAATAATTAAAAAATAGAACAAAATTTTTGACTATAACATCAGATTGACTTTTTTTAAAATGCACAAAAAAACAAATTATAATAAAAAGAATGATTTTTTTTCTAAAATTTAGGTTGGATTTTCAGACAATGATTCTATTTTAGACTTTAATTAAGATGTGGATTTAAAAATTAACATATATAAATTGAAAAAAGGATCTACATCTGAAAAAGATAAAGTTCTTCATATCTTTATTAGTATATTTTATATATTCTACAAGGATTTTGTTTATATTTTATTATTGAAAAACTTTGTTTTAAAAATGTTCAATAGTATTCCTCTTGAAGAATTGTTGGTTGATGGAAAGAAATTGTGTGTGTTGTTTCATTAAAAAAAAGCAGAAAAATCAGATCCAATTAATTATAGACCAATAGTTTTAATATTAATGTTGAAAATCATATTTTGTTCACATCTACAAAAATGATTGGAATGCCAAAATATTTAGTAGTAATTTTTATGAAAAGCAAATTAAAGTCAACTACAGATAATTTATTCATTCAATGAACTTTAGAAAAAAAGAGATACAGATTATTTACAAGTTTTATTGACTTTGTCATGTGTGTTTCACTTCACCCGAAGTACAGTTGTATGTAGAACTTAATCCTAATGAATAGTGTTAAATTGATTAGAATAATTTATGAACTGTTTTTGAATATAGAAGCTATTATATATCAGAATGGAGAGTACTCCAATCTTTTTGAAGTTAAGATAGGAATCCCACAGGGGACCATCTCAGTCCTATGTTATTTTATATAAATGATGATCTGGAATTGAATGAAGAAAGATTTAATAGTTGACTGTATCATCTGTATACTGTAATTTTTTTCATTTACTAAAATTTCACTTTGTGTAATTATTCAGATGATCTTTAGGAACAATTCAAAATGAAGAAAGTCAAATAAATGGTATTTTAGGGAAATTACATTATCAATTGGGTCATTTGGAAAGCATTCAAGTTATTTGATGGAAAAAACAAATAGATACATCTATAATCTGTAAGAAGTTTTTTCAAAATGAAAAAGAAACCCATTTGTGTCAAAAATTCTTTTTACTTCTATAATATTCCGTCTTACTTTATGCTTTAATTCAAAATTCAAATTATTTCAATCTAGTAGTATGGAAAGTATAGACAAAACTTTTTAGAATGATACTGTAACTGCATTTTTCAGTTCTAGATTATGTAGCAAGAGAAAAATTGAATAATAGGAATGTTAAGGGAGATTTCTTGAGAATAACAATGAGATTTTTAACTCATCTTTATGCCAATGAAAATGCAGTGACTTATTTGACATACAAAAATATTTAAGAATAGAAACAGATGGTCAAGTAAATTATCTAAGTTTTTTAACAGTTCAAAATTTTTTTCTGAAGTAATATTTAATAATAAAATATTCAGTGGAAAATTATGTCACAATATAAGTCCATTGTTACTCTCAGATTATAATAAATTGTAGACTAGTTAGTTCCACAGCTAGTATAAACAGATTATTATCATAAACAAAAGATAATTCTTTTCATTGTTTAAATCTTCATTACAGTAATGTTAAATAAAGAATTGTAATAAAATATAAATTACACTTCACGCCAACTTTTGAATATATAGTAACTACACTTACATGTTGTGGCGTTACCAACGTCAACTTTTAGAGTATGAAAATGTTTGCTAGTACTTTCAGTAGCATAAAGTTACCGTCATCAGGTAAAGATTTGTTTAATGCAAAAATCAAGACTTCCTATCAAGAACCAATGAATTCCTCAAACAATCAAAGTCTATTATATTAGGTTGTTCAGAAAGAAAGTTCATTTTTTTACCACTAGATGGATTAGTTGTATTTCCCCCCATTTTCATTCTAAACTGTACTATCATTATATATTTTGACAGCTAGCATTTTAAGGCTTATTTGTAAAAAATTTTGTTTGATTCTATGCAATTGTTTATTTTTTGTGTCCCATCAAATATGGAAGATTGAAAGCATCATTTTTGGCATCATTATTTTGCTTTTTATTACCAAAAAGCAAAATGCTGTTCAAGCAAGAAAATAATTGTGGTACATGTATGGAGATGATGTGTTGAGAGAAAAACAGTGCCAAAACTGGTTTACAAAACTTCGTTCTGGCAATTTCAATATTGAAGATGCACCACGTTCTGGATGGCCAGTTGAAGCCAATGAAAACAAAATAAAGGTACTGATTGAAGCAAACTTCCGAATAACAACACACGAAATCACTAAGAGATTAAATTTGTCAAATTGAACTGTTTATGATTACTTTGAAACAAATTGGTTTTGTTTCAAAGCTTGATATATGGGTTCTGCACGTTCTTAAAGAGAGATGCTCTCTTTGGTGGGATTTTAAGGAAATTTTTTTTTGGAGCTTTTACCAGACAATTTAACAATTGATTCGAAAGTGTACTGCCATTGAGTAAATAAATTGAGTAATATCATCAAACAGAAAAGGCAGCCACAATTGATCAACAAAACAGGCGTAGTGTTTTACCACAATAATGCTAAATTTCACACAAGTTTGGTAACTCATCAGAAACTGTTATAACTTAGATGGGATGTGCTATCACACCAACCATATTCACCAGATTGAGCACACTCAGATTATTACTTGTTCTGGTCTATACAAATTTTTTTAACTGTAACACATTTACTTGAATTGACAATGTCAAAAATCACTTGGATCAGTTTTTTGTAAGCAATGATCAAAACTTTTATGAATGTGAAATTATGCTACTACCAGAAACAATGACAACAGGTATTTGACCAAAATGGCTGATATATAATTCAATAAAATATTTATTTATTATAAAAATGTGTTTTTTCCACGGAAAAGAAACGAACTTACTTTCTGAACAACCCAATACTAAAACAGGACCCCACGTCTACAATATTAAGAAAGACACGTAAAATTATAGCACTTCCAGGAATTGTAGATTCCTTAGTCAGTCTTCTCAATCCACCAACAAATGTTGTTTGTCCTAGATTGTTTTTCAAGGTCAAACCGCATAAACCTGCTTGGCCTTTAAAAACTTTAGACAACAAATGATCCCATCCTACATACTACTTAGAAGCTGCACTAGCAAAACAAATTACTGCTTTAATTCCACCTTCTGAATTTGTGACCACTGCCTCTATGGATGCTAAATCAATCATCTTATACAAATTAGAAAACCTCCCTACCAACTCGTACCGACTGTACAAAGTTGATGTGATTTCCTTATATCCATCAGTACCATATTTTGAGGCCATCAAGCTTGCAAATAACCTGCTTCTTAATTCTGGTTATCCAACATCACATGTTTTACATTTGTGTGAAGCTCTCTTCCTCATTACTGAAAATAATTATTTTCAATTTAATGGAAAAATATATAAACAAACACAGGGAACACCAAATGGGTTCCCCATTATCACCTATTTTAGCAGAACTTATTATGAGGAACATAGAACATCATATATTCAACACCCCCATGACCATCTGTTATCCAATTATGTATCTGTGTTATGTTGATGACGTGCTATTTGCATGGGAAGGTTCTAATGAAGACAGAACAATTTATTCAATCATTGGCCTCTGTTTATCCTTTGATCAAGTTCATTGTAGAGGAAGAACAATATGCCAGAATCTCATTCTTAGATCTAAAAATTCATACATCTCCTGATCTTCTATTTTTTGTCCATCATAGAAACAACAAAGCACCACAAATTATCTCCGCTACAGCCTTTCAGCCATTAAACTTCATGAACTCTGCTACATCTTCCCTTATACAGAGGGCATTCCTTCTCCCTTCCACCCAAGCACTAGCACAGTGTTTTTCAACCTGTGGGTCGCGACCCCCAGGGGGTCGCGAAGCCTTACACGGGGGGTCGTGGGTAAAAGAAAAAGACAAGTGTTTGTAGGTCCTACACTACATTAAAAAAACTACAATTTCAGCGAGAAGGCTGTACCTGTTTATTTTACAGTACAATTGGTTTTTTGATCGATATGTAGGTCTCAACCATGGGTGTAGCCAGGGAGGGGCGTGGGCGGGTACGGCCCAACCCAGAAAATCATAGCCGTAAAAGTGTTGAGCTGATTTGCAGAAAGAAATAGAAAAAGTAGAAAAGTAGAAGCTGAAAATTCTGATCTTAAAAAAAAGGTCAACAGCACCCTGTGCCCAATGTTATAATTAAAGGAAGTTTCATACTTTATGTGTGTTAAGTTATTGTCGATTCTTCCGAAATTTTCAATTTAATCAACAATAATTTATCTCAACAGAAAGAAAATTAAATACATAGTTTTTAAAATCACTGATATAGTTTTAATGTGGCCCTAGGGGGGTCGCCAGAATTTTTTAACTTGTAAAGAGGTCGCGTATTCAAGAAGGTTGAAAAACACTGCACTAGCAGATAAAGAATTACTAATCATTAACAGAGCAATGAAAAAGCTGGATATTCTCTATCTAAATTTCATTTCCTTCAAAATTGCATCAAAAATAAATTATTTCCACAATCATTTCTTAGTAACAAAAAAAATCTAAAAATAGCACATCCTCCAATACAGTTTTTAGTCCCTATCTCTCTAAAAACAGCACATCTTTTTAGAAAGAACAGTTTTATTTTACCAATACCCCCAAAACCAACTCTAAGAAGACTATTATTCAATGACAGAGATATATTTCAATTTAGAATAAAATTTCAATTATGAATGAAAAATCTGGGATCTATCAAATTCCACTAAAACATGCTCTGTCAGGAGAAGAAACTAGCTACATGGGAGCCACGGCCAGAATGTTAAATTCTCGCTTCCTATAACATCAGGAGGACATCAGAAACAGTAGGCCATCAATGGAATTAGCAAAAAAAAAAAAGTGCTTGACCAAAATTATCAGCCACTCTGGACCCAAACAAAATTACTCAAATGGTGCAACAATCGGAAAGAATTTTTTATTTGGGAGAACCTCTACATAACAGCTACAACTCCATGCAACACCCCAACCCTTGAAATCCCACAATTATGGGTTACATTGTTCAAGCGATTCAATTTATAGCTTTAATTCCTTTTTGTGTAATCATTATTGCTTTTGCTCACTATGTAATCTTGAGAAAATTACACCACTCATTATTGCCGTTCATATTTTTAGAACATCATTCTAATTTGAATTCATTTTATATTCCATCCACGTGCTGTATTTCATTTCAAATTGTTCAAAAGCTTAAAATTCAATAGCTGTTATATTTGATATTCGTTTGATGATGGTAACTTTTTGCTACTGTAAGTACTAGTGAACATTTTCATACTCTAAAAGTTGATATTGGTAATGCCATAACACGTAAGTGTAATTACTATATAAAGAATTGTATTATTTTTTTAAGGAAAACATGTTTCATTTATTTGTTGAATGTAAAGAAATGTCTCATATTAATTCTGATAGAAAATAAATGAAAATTATTCTGGTTTAATTTCATAATTTGTCAAGAATATCTGTTATCAAAATGTGTAAGTTTCTTGCAATAATATTTCAAAAACTTCAGAATAACTTCTGACAATTTTTGTAATAGTCAGGAGTTATCCTGAAAAGATAGTATAAAAAAACTGGTTTTTGTAAAAAAATGGCTCCATTGGTTTTGGGGAATCACCCCTTGAGACTAATAAACTAAACTAAATATCAATAAAATTATGAATTCTTATATTAGTTTTTAATATGAGATGCAGGTCTATGTTCAATTAATTTCAATTCCAGAAAAAAACTGACTTTTCAATAAGTAAAGAAAAATTAATATACATATTTACCTTCAGCAATTCCCCAAGGATATTTTCTACCCCTTATTTGTTTACCAGTTGCATTTATCAGTGCATTACTTCCTATAATTGCAAAAGGAACTTTTTGCTATAAAAAAGATACATAATCATTAATCTTAATAAAAAGTTAATAATAAATAATAGTGTTTATAAAGTAGCATACCTTAATAATTTTGTGTGTTTTGTTGTCATCATCATTATCACATGATGGAAAATCATAAATTTTAATCTTATGTTTTGCCAACTGTCCTAAAATCTAAATAAATTTAATTATTAATATGAAATTAAAAACTAATATATAAAATAAATTTATTTCAACACGCACATGTAAAAAATATTATTATTATTATTATTATTTTTTTTTTAAATTTAATAATATATCAATGCATCAATCACATTATTATCTGCAATGAATTTTTGATATTTATTACAGTAACCATATCGATCTTACAAGTATATTTTTAAACATTTGCTTTTTAATGCACATGATCATTGGATATATTGTGTATATTGCAATATTGCTTAAGTTTCTTTATATCCAATGATCCAATATTGCTTTAAGTCTCTTAGAAGAAACATTTCCAGTTGAGAGGTAAGCTATTGATGTATTGTTTCTTCATTTTTTGGTCCATGACAAAAAAAAAAAATCTGATTATACAAAAATGCTCTAACAGGGTTCGCCTTTCCATTCATTCCCTGACTTTCCACCAAATTTTCCAGTAAAAATTTTACTAGTTTAGTGTCATAAACAGACAAGTAACAGAGCTTCACATTAAGTGGAAAACAAATCATTTCACAAATTTAATTCTTGAAAACACATCTTTGATATTTGAAATGCTATTTTGAATCATGATAAAAATGTATACTTGGGACCCAAGAGTAAATTTTTATGAAAAAATTTTTTACACACCATATATTTTATACATATATATGTTTGTCTTCTATTTTAATTTTAATTTATTATAGATTTGCTAGAATTACTTAAATTTTCAACAAATAAACCATTCCCTTCAAGAATCAGAAAAGTGTTATTAAAAGTAAAATGTTTCCAAAATATTCAATGTTATATTATCATTCATTATCAACTCAAATATAAAAATTATGATAATGACAACAGTTAAAAAGTTTTTCATTTAATAAAACTTCTGATTTCTATAAGAAACCTGAATTGTTAATGTAGTTATACAGTTTAAAAAATCATTTTATAAGAAACTAGCAGACCCCACCACGCATTGTTGTGGCTCAAAATGTATCTATTATAAATTTATAACACTTCCCCCGTGGGGGAAATTTTTCGAAAAATTTCTTCTTAGTGTACATTCTCTTGACGTACCCTATTAAAACGCAATCAAAAACGCAAAAACCCGCATCTAAAATAATATAATAGAAGCCAAGTTTTTCATAGTAAGCCTTAATTCTGTTCCTCTCCCCCTCGGGGGAATATCGAAAAATCCCTTCTTAGTGTACATTCTGTTGACATAGCCTATTAAAACGCAATCAAAAACGCAAAAAAATCGCATCTAAAATAGTATAAATAGAAGCAGAGTTCTTTACGGTAAGCCTTAATCCTAACCATCGCCCTTCAGTGGGGGGGAATTTCGACATGTATATTATATAAAAACACGTGTGTATTCGAATGCAGCGTTGTGTGAAAATTTCAAAGGAATCGGTAGGAACAAATGAACATTACATTTTTATTTATATAGGTAGATAGAAGATGATCTGCTTTAGTTCATTTTCACAGAAAAGCAAACTTAGGGCGTCGTACTTGTAGCGCCATCTGTTGGACATAAAGCCTTAACCTAGATTATATTTTTTAATTTATATGAATGTTTATCGGAATAATATACAGCCTATGTCCACCCTGAGGTTCCATTCTAAATATTGGTGAAAGAATTTTTGAAATCAGATGAGTAGTTTCAGAGATTACCTGCTGCAAAGAAACTTACATACATACATACAAACATTACCTCTTTATAATATTAGTATAGATTATAATATACTTACAGTTCTTTTACAGAGTTCACATTCTTCTAGTGTCATTGTATCAGCTTTGGCAATAAGAGGAATAATATTTACTTTGTCATGTAATTGTTTTAAAAATTCAATATCAAGAAGTTTCAATCTGTTAAAATAAAATTTTGCACATTAATTTTATGTACTTTCAAAGAAATCAATAAAATATAAATCAAGAAAACAAATACCCATATACTGATGGTGAAATAAAATACAAACAACAATGTACTCGTCTATCAGAAATGTAACTTCGCTGCACATTTGATTCAGCTTCTAAATAATCTTCATATCTTTGATTTATATATTCAAGTATTGGCTTCCAACTATTAAAATATAATTAATAATGTTTATAACAGCAAATTTTAAACCAACAAGAACTTAAAAATAATGCATCACTTTGTGACTGATATACTAACTTATGAAACTTAACATAATTTCATGTTTTTTCTTAATCTTATTAAATTTTCAAAAATTACTATAATAAACATACCATTCTGAATTATCTACAGCATCTCCAAATCCAGGAGTGTCTACAACCGTTAATGTTAATTTTACACCATTCTCTGAAAGAAGCACCCTAGTTGTTTCTACCTGAAAAATGTTGAGAACTTTAAGTGTCTTTTTTTGACAATTTATTATATTTTATAGTTTTTTTGAAGAACTGGTTGATAGTGTATTACAGTCAAACTCTGTGTATATGTTCCTGGAATTATCATTTTCCCACAATTTACATCATATTTTTCTGGTCCTGAATTTTTCCCTACAATTTATGTAAAATTTTCCCATAAATAACATTTTTCTATATTCCTGCAATTTACATATTTTTATTGATAAATACAGAATTTTTAAAGTGATGATTTCAAAAACAAGACAAAATAAAAACTAAATAAATAAATTTTTAATAGTGTAGGTGACGCTACTCAGAAATCTACAATTTTTTACAGTTTTATAATGTTAGAGTAACTTTTTCCATGCATTATGTGCTTTGATATTTTAATCCTCCTAAATTATTTATTGTCTTCTTTAACACTAATTCTTTGATATTTGACCTTTTTTAATTGTATCTCTAACTTTCAAAACTTTACATAGAATTAAAGATATAGTGCACAGTATCTTGAGTAAAAACAAAATGGAATAAACATAATAAACATTTCCTTAAAATTAATTTATATTTTTTGGAGGTCCCCTGAACAGTGTAAAGAGGTTTTTACTAACTGAAATTCTTATATAAACAATATAATTTACAGTTACTTACTTTAATACAGTTTTATGAACAAGTTCCAAGAAACAAAATAAATTAATAAAAACACACACACACACACATATATTTTTTTACAACTACATTTTGAAATTTTACAAATAAAATTATAAAATAATTAATTAGACAGCAAGTTTATCAGGACATTTAACTCTTTCTATCCTAGAGGCAGTAAAAAAGCTATTTATTTATTTTTATAGTATTTTAGCATGTATATTATTATTATTATACAGTATTTAGTGGATTATACTCGGTTGATACCGGTGGCTGTGTACTATGCCAAACCAGAGTCAAGGCATAGCAACCAAAACAAAACAAAAATTAAATAAGTGTGTCAGTGTCTGTATTCAGGAATTTCCTAAGAATGTGGTATGTATTCAATATAGTGGCCTTCTGTAGTGTGATGTATGTATTTCTATTCAATTGTAATGTTCTCAGGCTTTTGTGTAGTGAGTGTGGTATCACACCTGTACAGGAGAGAATGACAGGTACAATAAGCACACTTTCCATCCTCCACAGATGCCTTATTTCCTGGGCAAGTTCTGTGTACTTTCTATTTTTTTCAGTGAATGTGTTTTGTATACAGTAATACCCCGAACTTACGCGATAGGTGGGACCGAGCGATAACTGCGTAAGTCGAATTCGCGTAAGTCAGGGTATAATTTCGCAATTTGTGTAAAATCCAAGTCGGATGTATGTAAGCTAATAAATGTTCTCGTTAATCTTATCTCATCTTTTGATTCGCTCACGGTTACAAGAAATCACCACATAGAGTCTCTCGAGTCTCCGTAGATATAACAAACACAGAAATAAATAACACAAAATAAATTGTAGCTATGTGTCAATTCCGCATGACACGTCCGAACATGTAAGCTGAACAATAGTGTAGGGGGGAGTAATCGAGAGTTGCGTGGCGCTCAAACAAAAGATGAATCGACGAGATTTGAAAATCGCATAACTCCAGGTTCGCGTAAGTCGGGGTAGCATAAGTCGAGATATTACTGTATTGTGAGTGTTTGGAATGGATATCTCTATAATGTATATGATTTTATTGTGTTTGTCAATGAGTATGATGTCTGGTCTGTTCTGGTAAATTGTTTTATCTGTGATTATGGCTCTGTTGTAGTACATTTTGTGTGTGTTGTTTTCCAATACTGTCTGTTGAATGTATATGTACAGTAGAGCGTCGTTTTCCGAAAGTCGGTTATCTGAAAGCATTCCAGTCGGCAAATTTAAAATTTCGATAGTGCTGTGGCGCTGCAATCTTTGGCTATATCTTGGGCTACTCCAATATTTTTTTGGTTGGTGTGTGTGTTTTAGCTGGCACTTTTGCGTGGTGTTTTTCTGAGGATTGTGTGTCGTGCTGAATCAAACGTTTTTGATACTAGATCAACTTCTAAAGTATATTTTTTTGGTTTTTATATTTTTAAATATATTTATTTTGTCTGTACAAAATAAAAAAAATAATTTTTAATGATATAATAGCCATGATTATTATTTTAAAAAGTTTTTGTTAGGCTTAACATCGACGAAAATTCAACACGAAGCGACACGCAATGGAGAAAAATTTCAACACGGGATGGGTTAATATATTTTTTTGTACATGATCGGTTAACCGAAAAATAAGTTTTCCGAACAACCCCAGTCACCAATTGATTCGGATAAACGACACTCTACTGTAGTATGGTTCATGGATGTCTAATAATTTGTGTTTGTTTGCAAGCTCTTTATGTATTTGCTTCTTGATTATGTCTATGTAAATTATCTGTTTGTGCCAAGAGCTTGCAACCAGAAGTGATGTGTTGTATAGTTTCTGGCATGATGTGACATTTATGATTGTTGTATTTTTGAGTATGTGTTTTCTGTAGTTTTTAGTATTTATGACCTGATCCTGTATATCAATCATGAATCCTTCTGTCTCCCCAAAGTTTTTTCCACAAAATCCTGGGCCAGGTCATAAGGATGCCTACCATGGACTGCCTTTTGATCCCATGATTGCTTGATGGTGTCTATGCTTTTTATATGTTGTGTCATGTCTGTATGATGTGAGTGAAAATTTAATGGTGTGTTATTTGAGTCTGCTTGAGTTACTGCTTTATGTAACTGTGATGTTTCTTGTTTTTTGTAGAAAAACTTTTGCAGTGACTGCATTTGTTTGTAGTTAAGTCATCATGCCACATCCCCATCTTTACGTGGAAGGGTTAATCTTTCTGTGGCAGATTCAGGATGATATTGTTTATGCTTAGTAAGCGTTGTTCTTGTTTTCCTTGGAGTTGCTCAAGATCTGTGTGAGTCCAATGTATAACTCCAAAAGAGTATGTGAGTACTGGGATGACATATGTGTTTCTTACTTTAACTGTATGTTTTGCATTTAACTGTGTTCCGAGGATAGCATTTAACCTACTTTGGTATTCTTTAATTAATCTTTGCTTTATTTGTGTATGTTCCATTAGTTTGGCCTGTTGGAATCCTAAATACTTGTAGAACTCGCCCTCTTCCATGCATTCAATAATGTCTCCATTTCCAAGTGCAAAATCTTCTTTCTTCAGGATTCTTTTTCTATGTGAAGTGTTTTGCATTTGTCTAAGCCAAACTCCATTTGTATGTCCTTGGTGTATGAATGTGTGATTTGTAGGAGTTGATGAAGTTGTTTTTGTGTGGATGCATAAAGTTTTATGTCGTCCATGTACATGAGATGTGACAGTGTAAACTGTGTTGTTTTTTCATGTCTGATATTGTAGCCATAATGCGTGTTGTTTAACATGTTGGATAATGGGTTCAGGGCTAGGCAGAACCAGAGAGGACTCAAGGAATCTCCTTGAAAAATTCCTCGCCTAATGAATATTTCGTTTGTTTGTATGGAAGTGTTACTAACCCTGAGATGTAGTGTTGTTCTCCAGTGCTGCATAGTGTTTTCGAAGAATGCAATGAGTGATGGATGTATTTTGTACATGTGTAGAATATGTAGCAGCCAACTGTGTGGAACACTGTCGAATGCTTTTCTGTAGTCTATATATGCCATGTGTATGTTTCTGTGTTGTTTGTGTGCTTGCCGTAGAATGACTGAATCTATGAGTAACTGTTCTTTGCATCCCCTGTGATTTCTACGGCAACCTTTTTGTTGTTCTGTAAGAATGTCGTGTTCTTCAACATGTTTGTATATTTTGTTTGTGATACAGGATGTCAATAATTTGTAGAGTGTTGGAAGACATGTAATTGGTCTGTATTGTGGGGGTTCTGTGATGTTGCTGTTTTTAGGTTTCATGTAGGTGATGCCCTAAGTAAGAAATTTTGGTATGTCTTGTGGATTGATGATGATGTGTGTTAGATGTTTAGCTAGTTCCTTGTGCAGTGATGTAAATTTTTTGTACCAGAAATTGTGAATGTTGTCTACACCAGGTGTCTTCGAGTTGTGTGTTCTGTTAACAGTGTAGCAGATGTCATGTATGTTTATTTCAGCACAGGGCATAATTGGTATATTGTGCAAGTTTCTGTTCTCCTTCTCGATCCAGCCTGCATCAGCATTGTGTGTAACAGCACTGGACCAAAGAGAAGACCAATAAGTTGCGAGTTCTTCTGTTGGTATGCCACTGTTCTATGTATCAGTGTTTGTTTTGGTACTAATTTGTCTGTAAACATTTTTTCGTTGTTTGTAAATAATTTACTTTGTTGTTTTTGTAGTGTACATGTTTTGTATTGTTTGAGTCTACATGCTTTGACTGTGAGTTTCTGTTTTAGTGTATCAATGTATTCTGTAATGTGTGTGTTTTGATTTTCTTGAAAATGTTTATTATTATTATTATTACTATTATTTTTATGAAACTGTTCTAATGTTATAGTTTAATTAGTAAAATTATTACTAAACTGATTTTATAACTTGATTCATGTAGGTACAGAAAATATTGGGATTCAAGCTTAGAAATACAGTATATACCATATGTATATTCATTTTGAAACATTTTTTCAGTCTGCTATAAAATTATTCTTTGCATAATTTCTGTAATACTTTTTTCTTTCTAAACTTTATGCATTAATATGTAAAATAATTATACTGCATAATTAATCAAAGATACATTTATAGTAAAAAATCTTTTATAAATCATGAATATATATTCAGTGTACCCCACATAACTATAATACAGCTCTTTCACTAAATACAGTTCTGTCAGAACAAGTATATGAATAAAGATATTTCAATTAATCAAGTGTTTCTCATATGAAAAATTAAAATTATTTTCATAATAAAAATAATAGGCTTCCATCTTATTTAAAATTATATAACTTATTTGAAATGGTAGGAAATAAATATCGATTAATATTTTTGAAATGCTCTGCTTGCTCTTCTGATTAATTTGAAATTAGTTTCTTTTCAGTTAAAATTGGAAAAAAATTACATATTAGAGTGTTATATATTCCATTTAACATTCATCCCAGTTTGAATTGATAAGAACCTAATTTCAAATTAAATCTACAGAACAAAATGCTTTAAAAACTTTAATCAATACTTATTTCTTGATCCTTTCAAGTAAATTAGATGAAGAGTTGATGGAGCAAAGTAACTGTAGTTTTTTATGCACTAACAGAAATTTTAACAAATAAGCTAAGCTATTATAGAGTAGCTCTTTAAAGAATTTGATTACTTTTACAATATAGCATAAAATTTCTCTTCAAATACAATTATGATATTTAGTCTATTTATTATACATTTTGATTATCTACAAAGAAACAAAATGTAAGCTATAGAGTCAAAAGGTTTCTATAACAATGAAAAAAAATATTATCAAAATAGACTTCTGTAATTTGAAGAAAAATCATAATTTCTGTGTTGATCCCTTAAAAGTAAATTTTACAAGTACTGTAAAATTGAATGTTTGAAAGTAAAAACTACTAAAACACTCAGGATGAATCTACATAGGGACTAATACAGCTTAAGTCCTGTGTCCCCAAAAATTGAATTATCATAAATCTTTAATACTTTTTCATTAACAATGAGCACTTATTGTATATTAATAATATAATAATAATGATAATTTATAGTATTATTTGTTTTATTGTAATCAATGTAACATAATTGGTCAGTAATTAATCAATGTAAATATTTCTTTATTTCTTATGTTTTTTATATAAGATATAAAATTTGTCACTCAACACCATTTTATAAATAAATATATTTCAACTCTGATTTTTGATGTTATTAAATATGAATTTTAAACCCAAATTTAAAGATTCTTAATCTAAAAACATGGGACCCCATTGCCCTAGGTCTCAAAAAACCTAGATCTGCCCTGAAAACACTTAATTTCCAAAAGATTAAAATAAAGGATTATCATATATTCTTTAATTTTTTTAAAATTAGTCACTTAACCAATCTTTCAAATTTGCAAAAAATCTGAAAATTTTGAGTTGAAATATATAAAGAAATTTATTTTAAATCAGTCATCAATTGAAAAGTATTAATTAAACAATTACACAAAAAGTTACTAAAATTTATGATTTTCAATTAAATTTTTCAAAATTAATCCAACATTCATTAATGTACAAATGTTCAAAATCAATACATTCCTCTCACCCAAAGGCTAAATGACATCTGAAGAAATTACAGTAAATAGACCATTAGAAGAAAGTAGTCGGCTGTGAGGAAGGAAGTTACCATTATAGAAAGAAGTTATAATGAAAGAGAAATTTGCTAGAAAATTTTTACAATCATTTGGTTTAATTTCTTTTTGCATTAATGATATAAAAAAAGAGCTGAAATATATCATGCAAAGCTGCAATTTGTCTGATAATGATAATTTATTAAATTAAAAGAATTTAATTACATTATATGAAATAGATAATTATTTCATTTTGCATATAACAATGTATTTCAAATATAAAATTCATTTTGAAATTGTACAAGTAATTTTTATTTCTTAGAACAATTTTTATTTACCTAAGAATATACATATTATTATTACAAAAATTAGAAATAAATTATTAATTAATAAATTATTAATTTTGAAAACATATTCCTCCAAAGAAGACAGAAGAGTAAGAGAAATTAATATAATTAATTTAATTGAATTTTTGATATTTTAAAAAAAAAACAATTAAAATTTAATTTTAATTAACATTAATTATTTGAATAAAATAACATATAGAAATCTTACAAATTGATTTTATCCATTGCATCAATATCTTAAAAATTGATTTCTTTGTATTCATTATATTAATATATTATTAGTCATTTCATAATAATAATATTTTAATGAAAATTTTAGGAAAAAATAAAATAGTTGATAAATATTATAAAATTAAAATATAGCTTAAAAGTGCTTGGGAATTAATATTTGTTTTTCATTCCAATAACGCAGCTTCTCTTGTATTATTTGAAGTTTGAATTTTATGAACAATAAACTTAAATTATAATTTCATTTTAATTTGAAAATATCTCAAAACAATAACTTTAGTAGTAATTTACTTAATTTTTAAACATAAATACTAAATAAATAAATAATTTATAAGTTCCATTTAAAAAATAAAAAGTAAAATATAAACAAGTGCACAAGTTCATTCAGAGCATATTTTATGTATTTATTATATGATTATGATGTTATCGATTAATTTAATAAAATTATAAAAACTTTTAATTTCAATTTATCTTTAATTAAATAGGAATAAATCAATAGAAAAGGGCATTAAAGGGCTTTTTTAATTCCTAATTAAATTTAAATCACATTTGAAAGTGATACAATCAAGTATATATGTTACCGCTAAAGCTCGAAATCCGTTAATGTTCAGATTACCTAGCTAATCTGCAGATTAACTACGGTGATCTGTTAAAGTTGCTAAAATTGTTCTATTTCTCAAATTACCTAGGTAATGTGCAGAGTATCTAGGTAATCTGCACATTACCTACTAGGCACTCAGTAAAGTGAAAATAAGATTTTTGCTGGAACAACAGCAACGTTTCTGTACGCTTAAATTAACATAATGTTATTTATTTAATTTTCAATATCTAAAGAATCAAGTTAATACAATCAAACAATTAACAAATTAGTTGATTGAATCAATCATCAATCAATTAAAAAAAGTCTAAAATTACCTAGGTAATTTGAGATATAGAACAATTTTAGCAACTTTAACGGATCACCCTAGTTAATCTGCAGATTAGCTAGGTAATCTGAACATTAACGGATTTCGAGCTTTAGCGGTAACATATATAAAAGTTATAAATTAACTTTTTAATTTTATTACTTACTTCTAATGTTTTCTTTGTTCTTAGAGTTGGTCCTGGATATTCATTTGAATATATATCTGTTAAAAACAATGTATTGAGGAAAGTGGATTTTCCTAAACCTGATTCACCTATTAAGTTAAATAAATTTGAAATTTTAATATTTATTCTATTAAATAATGATACTAAAGATGATATTAAAAAAAGAAATGATCACTAACCTACAACCATTATTGTAAATTCAAATCCTTGTCGAGTTGCTCTACGATAAATTTGATTAGGTAGATTAGCAAAACCAACATAATCTAAATCTTTGCCACCAGTTTTTTCAGGTTCTTTTTGAGCAAATATAGAAGATTGCATTTTATTGCTGGTTTTATTACCTTGGAAATCAGGTACTTTTTCTCTATGAAAGTCTGATTTTGTTGGTATCTATAATTAAATTAATACATTATAAAACAGATATTGTTCAACATAAGACCTATTTCTTTTATTGCATTAAAGAAAAATAAAAATTAATACATACTATATAATCATTTCTCATTCACAGTTACATAATAATTTTATTGAAAATTATTGATATTATCATAACATGGACAATCAGCTTAAATGTACAGTAGAAGTTCATTAATCTGAAACTGACAGAACTAGAGTGATGCCATATTAGAGAGATGTGTTGATATTTTCTTAAAATTCAATTAAGTTATATTTGGTCTAAATATTGCATTGCTGTACATTTTGTACCAGATGTTTAATTGTAAACTACGCAACTTATAAGTTTAGAAGCTTAAACAGTGCTATCTGTAGCTCTAGTATGTCAAACAGGAGAGTTGCATTGACATTAATGCAATGAAAAAAGATTCTCATATGAACAGTATTCTTTGGTCCCCACAGCATTTTAGAAACAAAGTTTGTAACCAAAGCAGACCATATTTTTTTGTTTGTGTTCTATTATTTGAATCCAAATGTTCTGTTCTCTATGAATGACATTGCCTGAAGAGAAGAGTTATATATACTGCTGAAAGTATTTGTGAAATAAATCTTTTTCTGTAGCATCAATAGACAGTTGTGTGGCTTGGCCTTTTGTGATATTTATCTGTTTTATAATTATGAAAAGACAGAAAAGTGTTAGTAAAAGTTCATTACATTAAATAAAAAATTCAGTATGCAAAGATTCATCTCAAAGTTGTACAGAAATACTAAGTCTGAAAACACTATACAATGGAACCTCGGTATACGACCTTAATCCGTTCCCAATGTTTGGATTTATACCGAACAGGACGTATACCAAACCAACCTTTCCCATAAGAAGTAATGTAAAAATGATTAATCCATTCTCAATTAAAAAAAAGTGGCTGGCTTTAAACACCTCACTTTCCTGGCTAGTTCCTGCTTGATTTTTCATGAGATCAGCATGTATCTATTTAGCTTTCTTGCAAATAATTGCTTTTGATACGCTGTCGCCAGCACACTGTTTTTCAGTTAACCAAAGTAAAAGCAATTTCTCAACACGATCTAATGTCTTTGATCTATGTTTAGAACTCGAATTAACCCCTTTCGCAACGTTAGCAAATTTAATAATGTCTTTATTTTTCACGATTGTCGGTATCGTCGTTCTCGGAATACGGTATGCAACAGTTAAATCTCGAACACACGTGCCACCTTCATATTTCTCAACAATATCTTTTTTTCAGTTTCATTGTGATTTTAGTCATTTTTTTTTTTTATTTTTCTGTTGCCTTTTTGCAATTCATGATTAATAAAAATAATAACATTTTACTTACAAATTAAAATAAAAAGAAAGTTAACAAAGTTATAAACTGTGGCACAGCGAACGTCTAGTCTGGTATAATACACCGATAGTGTTACTTGTTCATAGATGGCGCGTATAATTGAATTAAGTCATATACCGAACAAAAGTCGTATACCGAGGAAAATTTGTTTCGTCCAAACAGGACGTATTCCGAATTGGATGTATTCTAAAGCAGACGTATACCGAGGTACCACTGTATAAGTAACTGTATTAAAGTATTAAGAACATTACATCTTATTTTATGGGGCTTACTATTTTGATTTATACTATAGATTTTTGATTTTGATACAGGACCACCTTTTGACTGAGCATGACCGTCACCAGTAGCCAACACATTGATTCGTCTCCATGAACAGTACAACAATGGCCACAAAGGTGCAATCCACAGCTAGCAGAAGGCATTTTCTCAGATGCTGTCAGTACGTGCTTGGCCAAAATGGCATGCAATCAACAAGGACATTGTTGGATGACATGTGGAAAGCATGCACGATGACAGAAAACTACAACTCGGTAGAAGGATGGAAAATGGCCTTATGTCAACAAAAGAAGGAGACCAGTTCTGGAAGGAAAGTGACTGTGAGAAAGCTAGCCAACATTGGCTGGGTGAAATTCATCTGGATAATTGACATATCATTTTCTCAGAAATAGAGGTGGCCATGGGACTAACTGCAGCACAAAGACAAGTGTATGGATGTGTGCTGCAATCTCCTGCAACACCATAAGCAGAATCTGGCAGAGTGAGTTTATGTCAGGGTCATGACTGATGATGAAATGTAGCTCCATTGCTAAGAACTGAAAACAAAGACATAATTGGTGCAGTGGAAACACAATGACAGCCATGCTGACGAAATTCTGGAAGATATCCTCAGCTGGCAAGTATATGGACACAGTGTTTTGGGACACGGAAGCAGAGGTGGATCAAGACTATAATCCTGGAGGGGCAATACCATTTTAAAATAAAAGTCAAGGAAAATCTATATATTAAATGAAAGAGGTATTCAGTTTTCCAACTTAGTTTGAATAAATGGCTGGAGCTAGAAGTATCAGTTCAGGTATCAAATTAAAGCATAAAGGAACAAGTAAATTATTCTAAACAAAAGAGAAAAATTATCACATGACCAATAGCTAAACAGAATAACTAATACTCTCAAACTTCAACAAAAGCATAAAGGAATTGCTAACAAAGAGTGAACTAAGTGTGAATTAGTTTGTTATTTAGAGATGACTATGACCTACAAAATAATTTTATTTCAAATAAAAAGCACAAATTTAAGTGTTTTTTAATATAATAAAACAGCAAATATAATTAAAAGCATAATAATTGAAAAATAACTGTACAAATAATAGCAGCAAGACGATCATGATTCTTTCCACATGCCATTCTTTCATCTAAAACAGGGCTTCTTAAACTATGGGTTGCGACCCCATTTGGAGTTGCTTAGCGAAATCTTGGGGTCGCAAGATTTTAATGCAAAATATTGAAAATAATTTGTGAGAGTTTGAAAATGGCACGCTTTGTGTCATAGGTTTCATGAGTTGTGCTTTGTGTCACATTCTGGTGCAGTGAGACAATGGTTCAGCAACACTGATTGTNTGGATTGGTGATGATGTTTGTTAGATGTTTAGCTAGTTCCTGGTGCAGTGATGTAAACTTTTTGTACCAGAAATTGTGAATGTTGTCTGCACCAGGGGTTGCGAAAAAAATCACAATCATAAATGGGGTCGTGAATAAAAAAGTTTAAGAAGCCCTGATCTAAAACAAATTTGAACTCTTCCACTACTATGAAAAAGAATGAACCATTCCCCATCGTTAAAGCCTAGCCTAGCCTATAGAGTAAAACCAATTTTGTATCTATACATCAATTGAGAGAGAGTTTCAGTTTTCTGTCTTAATTTGTGCAAATGACTAGAGCTAAAACTATTGTTCAGGTATAAAATTAAAGCTCTTAAGCTCTAAATCAATGATTTTCAACTGATGTGATAAAAGACGATCATAGGTTGCCGCAAAAATTTTTTGAAGGTTATTAAATAAATTATTTTTGAAAGAAGCCCAAAAGAACAATAACTGTACATGTCAAAATTAAAACCTCTTTAAATTGATTATTTATTACAATGTAAAACTTGTATAAACATATACATAATGTAGTAAAAAATATATATTCATAAGCAAAATTAAATGTGCATAACACAGAGTATTTCATTTAAAATGAAATTTACTTTAAATCAAAATGTATCTATAATTGTCCATATTTAGTTAAAATTATTTTAACTTAGAAATAGTAGGACATTGGGCAGGTTTCTATAGGAAATTATCATGCCATTTTTAAATTCAAATCAAGTCTTAATGTTAATTGCTTTTCTTATGTAAATGAAAATTATTAATTTAAATAACTATTATTATAACCTGCTGCTATTTTAAGGAATAACAATACTGTTTTATTTAATTTACAAAAAATATAAAAAGAATTAGGTTAAGTGTCAAGTAATATGGTGATAGAATGTTTACAAACATAACTTTAAATCATGTGATTTTTTCTGTGGAAATTTGTGCCATGGAAATTTAATTATAGGTTCAAGTATGCCATAAGATATTGAAAAATATTGTTGTAAATGATGCCAATGAAGAAAAATTTGAGAAAGGTGCAATGATTCAGATGTAGTGGAGTAGCAAAGATACAATGTTAAGTTTATGAGAAGGCAAGTAGCAAACATATCAGGCAGATGCATGCCATTTAGTTTTTCTTAACCATTTGAATAACCTGCTGCTCATCACTATTATGAGTTCCTTCTTTGTTTGCTAATTACGTGCTAATTAAAAAACATTATTTTTTTATTTGTTATTTTTTTTTAATAAATTAGTTTTGTCAATATTGACCACAGTGCTATCCATCAACTTTCAGCACCAATCTATTTTTATTTTACTATTACTTCATGATGAGACCAAAATGTGATTCTAACCATCCAATTCATTACTTAATGCCAACTGATGGCTTTCTCAACAAATGCAGCAACTAAAAGAAGAATAGACTTGAACTGTTGGTAGGTTAAGAGTTTTATAACATCCAATGAGATTGCTATGAGGTGGACCAATACTATCCTCACTGTTAATTTGAAACCCTGCTAGTTGAAATTGGTTACCTTGACCTGGATGCAAAATTGGAAGTTGGACCTTGGGACCTGGATGAAAAATTGAAAGAAGCATTGAGAGTGAGGACCAGTGGAAGGAGCCTCGTGGTACCAGAGAACAGATAGATATGAATCACCTGCAAATGGCCTAGAACAGTGTTTCTCAACCTGTAACGAACCGTCGCCCCCTTCAATAAAACCGTTAGGTAGTATCACCCCCTTCACTACAAAATTCCAATGCCGAGGGACAAGGCTAACGCCAAATTCGTACTGCATTGAATGGACTAGTAACCAGTATAATGTTATTTGTTTAATTATTGTACGATATAACGAATAAAATATCTAATTATTCTTAATATAATGTTTTACTATATCGCCCAGAAAATTGCTTTTCCCCCCAAAATATAAATTGTTACCAATCGCCCCCTCAACATGGAAAAACGCCCACATGGGGGCGATATCGCCCCCGTTGAGAAACACTGGCCTAGAATATACTGATGATTTTTGTGTAGAATGCCAAGATTTATTAATAAATGTACTGTATTTTACACTGTACAGTATTTTAATTGAATATTGACCATTGACTTTGACTAGTTCCTGCTAGTTAAATTAAATGCAGAGGCACATTGGTGAGACTTTATAGTGAATCTATCCTCCAGCAATTTGCAAATTTTTTTGTTTTTAGATCAGTTTTGTTTGCATATCATGCTCATTAAACATTTAAATCCAGAAATCTATAAATCTCCAAAATCAATGATGTTAAAGTAGCAAAAGTTAATATTTGTTACTATAATTTGTAATTAATATACAGTAGTTAATTCATATTAACTATATTTACAATATAATATAATACAATATTTATAATTACAAATTACAGTAACAAATGAAGAATAATAAAAAAAAATGTACCATACAAATATGATAAAGAATCAAGAAATATTTATGCATTTAATAAATTTGTAAAAAATAAATTTATATGGCCATCACACAACATATTGCTAGAGGGTGTAACTGTTATTTAATTTTGATCATTTTTGGTACACACTACACATATTGTTAGAAAGTGTTTACTTGTCAAATTTGAATGTGATTAGTCAAGTTTGAAGGGTTGCATATATTAAAAAAATCAGAAAAAGCTCCAAGTAGAGTGTCAATTTCTATTGTCTGATTCTATGTCTTGTTTTCAAGTTGTATCTCATATCATTTTCTGGGAAAACTCTTAGATCTATATCACCAACAGACAATTATACTAAATGTTCTCTGTGATTTGTCTAAGATCTAATCCACAAATTTTCTGAAATTGCTTCATTAAACAATACAATATAAGCACTAGTTGCACTAGGTTTTATGAAGTAAGAAAATTAAACTTGTAAGCATAATTTAATCTCTTATTAAATGTTTCAATAAACCATAAAATATTTTGCATCTTTCTTAATAATTTTAAATCAAAAGTAAAGTGCTTTAATAAAAAATTACAAAATGTAAAAAATTTTAAAGGAAGTTTATGCAATTTTAATGAAAGTAATAAATAATTAATTTATTATTTAATTAAGTAGCTGTAATAAATTTAATATACATTAAATTAGAGAGATTAAGATCATTAAAGAAATACTTTTCTCTGCAAAACTTTTGCAAAATCAATTGAATTTATTTATACTAATAAAATGTAGAAAGAACACAAAATCCCAAATGAGATCAAATTTCAAAATGTACAGTAATCAATGTTTATTTCAAGAGTACATTTTGTAACAAGAGATGAAAGACTATTCAGTAGGGTAAGAACAGCCAATAAAACTGTGTTGTAAAATACAATTCATATAGAGAGAAAATCTCATGTTAATAGAAACGGAAAAAAGTTTGATAGAAGGCAAAGTTCTTGAGCATTCATCCAAAAGAAACAAGAATAATAATAAAAAAAACACTTAAGAAAATTAAGGTGTGAACAGAACAACAAAGGAAGAGGTTCATCTTATCTGCTTCTCCAACATCTCTAATGTTAGGTTATTTGTTTAAATTACACTGATAATATCGTATTAACTTAAAAGACACCAATATTTTTCATCCACCAATAACTATAGTTTATTTGCTAAGATTAGCAATAATAATAAACAACATACACAATTCTGATAAAAATAAATAAAACTGAATAAGAAAAGAAGTTGAAGGCTAAGTTTAAAGCAAATTTAAATCACAACAATCACATAAAAATTTTTGATTATATAAAATAGTTACAGATGCAAATTTTATTTTTCCCGTTTTTACTCCTGAAAAGAAAAAAATCCCTCACTGATCTGAACAGCATTTTATTTATTGCAGGTTGGCAAAATGATTTGAAATTTACCTTATATCAAATAAAAATAAGATTTATTAAACAAACTCCTGTTTAAACAATACATTAATTGATATATTTAGCAGACAAAAATTAAACAAGGTAACTTTCTTAGTTAATTAATAAACACTAACTACGAAAAAATTATTGAAACAATGGCTACTTCTAAATGACAAATATCTAAGTAAGCAAACCAATGATATATGTAATGATATATTTACGATGTAATGATACTGATATATTTCGTTTCATATGAAACGAAATATATCAGTATCATTA